CAGAAATGAGGATATCCGCAGTAAAACCAGAGTTACCGACATAGCCCAACGGATTAGTAAGCTGAAGTGGCAATGGGCCGGCCATATAGCTCGAAGAACCGATAACCGATGGGGAAGACAGGTTCTCGAGTGGCAGCCTCGTACCGGTAGGCGTAGTGTAGGGCGACCCCCCACTAGATGGAGTGACGACCTGGTAAGACATGCAGGAAGTCGATGGATGCAGGTGGCTCAGGACCGTGCTTTGTGGCATTACTTGGGGGGAGGCCTATGTTCAGCAGTGGACTTGTGAAGGGCTGTAATGATGATGAATGATGATGACACACGCATATCTCTTTCAAGTTTAAATGTAGTTATTCTATTCCACGTGGTATAGTTAATTAAGGTTTTAAAACAAACCAAGATATCTAAATGGCACGATATATCATCTAAATGCACAGAACGGTAAAATACATAGCCATTTATCACTCCTCAGTTTTATGTTTCCCCGGTGGAGTAGCCTTTATTGTCTTTTATCGTCTATTTGTCTTTGTACGCTATTGAATGCGATTGATTTATCACACAAATGTGTTAGCTTTTTGAAAATAAATATTATGTAATTCTTATAACTTTATTTAGTAATATAATAATATTTTTTAAAAAGGATTATTCAACATTTCGCAAAGGATTCAAAACAAAGAAATGTTTTATTCAAGTGGTTGATTTCAATGTCGCCCTCTAAAATGAAATAGATGTAAACAATTATAACAATATTTTTGTTGCTACTTTTTTGTGTCGGTTGTTTTTGTGTGTTGGTTGCATATATGTGTAAGTGTGATCTTTCATTCGTAGAAGACACTAAAATAATTTTAACAGTACCTGATCATTATTTCCTATTTTAACTAACTTCAAAAAAGAGAACAAAAATGTTCACCGCATTTTCGAAATAAGCTGAAAGCATTGATATTAATTTATTTTTTTTACTTTGCTCTCAATGATTTTCAAAAAAATAGGGAAGTTTAAAATCGAGTTCTCAACAGATATCGAGATTTTCGAGAGAAATATATATTTTGTAATTCTTATAACTTTATTTAGTAAAATAATAATATTTTAAAACAACATTATTCTACATTTCTCTAATTATTCGAAATAAAGAAATGTTTTTTCGAGTGGTTGATTTCGACTTCGTCCTTTAAAATGCATATACATTTGGAAACCTTGAAATTCAGTGTGAGCTTTCATCCGTAGAAGGCAACGACATAATTTTATAATAATTTTATCGCGAAGGTATTGTTTTGTTTCATGTGTTCACCCCGGTTTTTGAAAATCAAGTTCAAATCAATGTGCACGTGCGTGTGTGCGTGCGTGCGTGCGTGCGTGGTGTGTGTGGTGGGGGTGGTCTCGTGTGTGTGTGTGGTGTGGGGTGGTGTGTGTGTGTGTGTGTGTGTGTGTGTGTGTGTGTGTGTGTGTGTAAACATCTAAACATCTCTTAACTTTGTAATGGAGTGTCCGATCGAAAAGCGGTTTGCGGTAATCTGAAAGGGCCTCGCTGAACTTAAATTTTCTGCGAGTTTAGATCGAATCGGCACGGTAGATTAGAATCTCAAAAATCCGATTATTTTTATTTTTCAAAAAGTGTTTTTTTTTTTGGAATTACTTCTAGCAACTCTTCTAAAAAATTTAATGTGGTGCAAAATTTATTAATACGTTGGAGAGATATCGTTGTCGAAAAGAATCTTAAAAAGTGTTTTTTCAAAATGACGAAAAATTTTCCTCAAATAATTTTTTGTGATAAATGTTTTTGTTACGATCAAGACACTGTTTCAAGTGCTGCAAACCACATCAAAATCAAAAAGCTAGAAAAGCTCGAAGCGCTCAAATATATCGTGAAAAGGAAATTTCAAGCGGTTTGCATTTGAAATTAGCGGGAAGTTTACAGAGATGGCTTGCACACTGAACCGAATTTTTTTATAGGTTAAACCTCAAGGATCACCCCTAACCTGCTTAAATTTAAAGTAAAAATCCAACAATAAAAGTGAAAAATAGGAGAATTAAACTATTATATATTATTATATTTCGATTGTTTTTATAAAAAAAAACCACAAGTGATATTTTAGACTAGCTTTATGTTCGAAGCTCGCCTCGTTTGGGTCGAACGCTTGGTTAATACAGCCTTTTAAATCGCTAATAGAGATTTTAGTTCTTGTGTCAGAATTAATGGAGCATATACATGGCACCTATAAAGGAGTCAGACGGGGCTATGTAGCTTCCCCGTGGCTATTAAACATATTTGGGCGTTTTTCAAAAAAATTGTCGGTGACGTAATTAGAATTCCACTTATATGAGTTTTAACATTTAGCTTCAAAATGTAATTAAATTGATAAAATATAGTATGAGCAGTATGAAAATAGCATTTTTTTAAAGAAAATAATAATGCATTTTGAAAATAATTACAATTTTAATTAAATTATGTTCTCAAGAAATTCTATTACGTTAGTAATTTTAAAATAGTTTTCATGAAAACTAAAAGAAGTTCAGTATTTTTAACTTTATTCATGCAAAATAAACATAATCAGTCTTCTAAAAAATATTGATAATTCAGCATATTAGATCTAATCAAAAAATGTTTTAACAAAGATATTCCTTACGCTACTTTTGGGTACTTTGTACTATATTTTTTTCATCCTAGAACGTCAAATATGAGAAATATTCTTTCAAAAGTTTAATTATAACAAATTAAAAATTTATAATAAACTATATTGAACTAAAACAGTCAAATTTCTTTGAGATCTATTAATTAGTCTTAGAAAATAAATCACAGTAATAATAGGACAGTGACGTTAATGGAGTTCGAAAATGACGTTTAGGAACTATAAGGCAACGTCTATATGACTCTGAATTATGACAAAAATCATGGTAACTTGTGCTTATCGTATTAAATATAATATTACTAGTATGTGATTTAAGAGCGTTTACAACATACGGCATTTCATACAAACTTTCAAGTCCTTGTTTTCGAAATGCTTGAACCGATTTTAATGAAACTTCATACGCATAAGCAGGACACATAGCTCTAAATAGTTAATAAAGAACATTTTTGAAATGTCTTATTTAAAAAAAAGATAATTGGAAATATCTGTTTCTATGGAATATTTAAAATCGGTCGAATTTAGCTGTAACATTATTTTTCGAAAACGTTCTCATTATCTTTTTGGACCTATATATCCTGCTTATGCGTAAGAAGTTTCATTAAAATCGGTTCATTTATTTCGAAAAATAAAGACTTGAAAGTTTGTATGAAATTCCGTACGTTGTAAACGGTCTTAAACTGTAACAAAAAAGAGTAAAAAAAGTAAGTAACTTAAGCAACATGATTAAAACTACTTTTTACGGATTTTATCGCGTTTATTTTTACTTTTTTATTTTTTTTTTTATTTTTTTTTTATTTTTAATTCCGACGTTTCGGGCGCTTTTCCAGCACCCATGGTCACGGGGGACTGAGATGACTGACGTCCCGATGTCATTGTTAAACCCGGAGTACCTTCAGCTTTTTTTATTATTGTTTATGGTCCGATCTATGCAAAATGAACTGACTATGTCTTGAGGTCTTGCGGTGGTATGCTTAGGTTTAGTTTTAATTTTATTGATTATAGGATCCCAAGCAGGTGGTAGTACCCAGCCTCCTTCTCTATTGAAATTAGGATGTTTTTTAATTTCAATAGCCTCACGTATCATCCTTGGTAGGAATCGGTGTTCGATTTTCATCGATGTTTGTATGCACAAATGCAGACTTCCCGGGGAACGTTCCGGGAAGTCTGCAGTTTGTGATCATAAGACGGCCCCAACCATACATCAGATGATAGACCACAAATCCCGCGAAAGAACACCGATCTGCAGACTTCCCGGGAAGTTCGGAATCTGCGTTGTCGAGATTTGGTAAAATCTCGGTAACGCTTACCTTCAACTGCAGACTTCCCGGGAACGTTCCGGGAAGTCTGCAGTTTGTGATCATATCCTAGACGGCCCCAACCATTACATCAGATTTGATAGACCACAAATCCTCGCGAAAGAACACCGATTCCTACCAAGGATGATACGTGAGGCTATTGAAATTAAAAAACATCCTAATTTCAATAGAGAAGGAGGCTGGGTACTACCACCTGCTTGGGATCCTATAATCAATAAAATTAAAACTAAACCCAAGCATACCACTGCAAGACCTCAGGCCATAGTCAGTTCATTTTGCATAGATCGGACCATAAACAATAATTAAAAAAGCTGAAGGTACTCCGGGTTTAACAATGACATCGGGACGTCAGTCATCTCAGTCCCCCGTGACCATGGGTGCTGGAAAGCGCCCGAAACGTCGGGAATTAAAAATAAAAATAAAAATAAAAAAAAAATAAAAAGTAAAAATAAACGCGATAAAATCCGTAAAAGTAGTTTTAATCATGTGCAATGTTCGCGTAAATATAAGAAATCATTAACTTAAGCAACACTTAAAAAAATACGAAAAGACACATTCCGATCAATCAACACTATTCATCAGTCCCAAGACAAATCGAATAAATGTAGTCAAAAAAGGTTGTTCCGCTACATATCAGGCAAACCCAATTTTTACATGCATTACATTTTACCATACTTTGTATAACAAAAGGCTGACGCTCCTTGCAAATAGAGCACAAAAAAGTCCTTGATGACTTAAATTCTTTTCCGTTATGTTTGTTGTCGTTCGATGTATTTGTTTTTCTCTTCTTAGAGGGCTGACATTCAAGAGATGCAAGATTCTCTTTGAGCTGTTTATTTTGGGTATTACCAAGAACGTGATCTGAAGCTGTCATGCATGAACTTTCCAGGATTGGAATTATGCTATCAGATTTAGGTTCGACTAATCTCTGATTATCAGTCAGAGAAGTTATATCTATGAGTGGTCCAGAAATATTGTTGTCTTCTAGGGAATAAATTGGAGTTTCATTCATTTGACCCACATGGAAATCTAAATTTATGTTTTCTTAATTTTCACTTTAGTATGTTTCTAAATCTTGGAGCATGTGATCAGGAATAACCTCAATAGGGGAACTGCTTATCTGTCGGGTATTTTCTGGAAATTCATAATCAATTGCCGTATTCATTTTGTGGGGCGCAATGCTTAGGCTCGAATAACAAGGAGTAACGTTCATGTTGTCTTTTGACGTCCCAGGAACTATTAAGGCCTCAACACTCAATTCGGCAGTTTCTTTTGATGGTTTAACAAAATTATGAATTTTTGGACAATTGCAACTGCACAAACCACGATATTCCCCACAAAAACAACTCAGTTGCCGATATTTAATCTGGTTACATTGTGTAGATGATATTTGATGCAATTGCATTGTACCAGGAACAGCTTGAATGCCGTTGGGAATAAGTTGGTTCATGTTTTCAATATCTTGATTACTTATGTAAAAGCACTTTACTGTCTTCATGCTGTCTAGGCGTTAGTAACATCATGACCATAAGAAATCCTTTTATCCAATTGTCTCTTAATGGCACCCCCAATCCCAACTGCCATACTTTTGCCATGACCTGCCTCCGAAAATGACCATGTTGAATATGTAATAATAATAATCGATTTATTGTTTCTCACATAACTTTTACAAACAAATCATATTGAAGCTCTGTAGCCCGTGGTAGTTGAAAACTGTGTTACAGGCTACAGAATCTTCCCCGTTTCAGTGACACATAGTTGTAATGTGACAAACTATTATAGCAAACGGTATAAAAAATTTATTAGAATGACATCAAAAATAACATATAGGCTAACAAAGTAAAAATAGAAGAAAAAAAAAACAATAATAATAAGGTAACGAAAAAGTGTGTGTGTGTGTGTGTGTGTGTGTGTGTGTGTGTGTGTGTGTGTGTGTGTATGTGTGTGCGTGTGTGTGTACGTGCGCGCGCGTGTGTGTGTGTGTGCGTATGTGTGTGCGTGTAAACGTCGTAATATTTTATAAGAATTATTTAGTGGAAACGATAAGATTCACAGTAGCGTCATAGTCAAAATTACTTAAGCACTTTAGTAAAATTGACTTAATATTATGATTACTTAGATGGGCGGTTTTAAAAATTGTATTTAATTTGTTGTACAGTAATGTAGCAGAATAAGTAAAGTATCTTCTAGCGAAGTTGCTCTTGTAGGCAGGCAAGGGATAGCGGCCCGCCCTCTTATCATTTATTTGTAATTGAGAAGCAGTACTTTTGTGATATTTACGAATAGAATGGAAAATATATACCTTTCGTATGGTAAGTACGCCACATTTTTTGTATAAGTCCTCAGTCGGGTGTCTAAAAGGTAGGCCTTTAATAACTTTCAATAAAGCACGTTGTTCACGTTCGAGTTCGATAAGGTGTGTTTTAGCTGCCCCACCCCAAGAATTAATACAGTAAGTCATAACACATTCTTCAAGGGCTTTATATACTTTCATTATAGCCTCATTATCTAGAACATCTCTTAAGTTTTTAAACACATATATGAGTTTCCTTAATTTATTACTAACAGTAGTGATATGTGCTAACCAATTTAACTTGTCATCAATAATTACGCCCAAGTATTTTACATTGTCACTACGCAATAAGTGCGGACAGTTACATTCAGGTATGGTGGTTGGAAACCTAAAGTTGCAGCCTATATAGTCCCACTGCTGGGCTCAGGCCTCCTTTCAGGAACCTGTTACAAGGAAATTTATGTATTACTAATTTTAAATTTACACTCGGCTTGCAAGCATTTGTAATGGTAAAGCTTAAGAACTTTGTTTTAGACGTATTTAATGATAGTAGGTTGTCTTCCAGCCATGCAGTAACGGTTTTTAATCCTTCTTCAGCTAACTTGTATACTGAGTTCCAGGTCCGTTCCCGAAATAGAAGTACAGTATCGTCTGCAAACATCTGAATTGTTGCACCATTTACTACTGTATTACACAGGTCATTAATGTAGATCACAAACATCGTGGGGCCCAGTGTACTTCCTTGTGGAATACCATATGTACAGGATACGCTGTCACTTAGTAAGTTATAAAGTTGTACGTTTTGTTTTCTTTCACTCAGATAATCTTTAAACCACATTAGCGGGGTACCTTTTATAACAAAGCCTTCCATACGTGCCAGTAGGATGGGAATAGACACTGTATCGAATGCTTTTTGAAGATCCAAAAATACGCCAAGGCATTTATCACCCGCATTCAGATGATTGACGTAAGATTTTGAATGGCATCATCCGTAGATCGTCCGCATCGAAATACAAATTGGTTATTGGATATAAATTTATGTTGTTCCAGATATCTTAAGAGTCTTTTGTTTACAATTTTTTCCATAACCTTAGATAAGGAAGTCAACAATGAAATGGGCCTATAGTTGGTGGGAAGTCTTTTGTCACCTGATTTGTATAACGGTGTAACTATTGTTCTTTTGAATATATTAGGGAAGATATCTGTATTAAAGATCATTTTACATAAATGCATCATAGGCTCCGCCAGAACATGACAACTGTCTTTTAGTACCCTACAAGGTATGTCGTCCCAGCCAGTTGCACTAGATTGTCTGAGGTCCTTTATGGCACTTACTACTTCCAACGGATCAACTTGATAAAGCACAAATGAGTTTAGTGGAGCACTTTTTGTAAAGATTTTGGAAGCTAATTCAACGTCTGTAGTATTTATGGTCTTGAGTGTATTATTAGCTATACTGTTGCCAATAATGTTAAAATAATTATTGATTTCGTTAAGTGATTCCTTTACTGTTGGTTTAATTTTCAAGAGACATTCAGCTGTTTCGGTTCTTATTGTGAAACCCCCAACTTCTTTAATTAGGTTCCACGTTTTCTTACTATTTTTAAGATGTTTTGTGAATTGCTGCTTGTAATAATTAATTTTAAGTGTTTTATTTATTTTATTACATATATTTCTATAATTTATGTATTTAAATTTGAGTGTGTTATCATTTGTAGTCTTTTTATAATTGTTATACAATTTATTTCTTTTTCTTATTGGAGTAGTTAGACTACTCCGTCCGTAATCCGTTTTAGGCGTCTTTTCCTGTTAGAGACTTATATAGCGTATGTGTTTTATTAATCACATTTTTTATTATATCTATAAGATTTTCTGCAGCTTTGTTGGTGTCATTTATAAGTAAATATTCTTGCCAATTTTCCAATTTTCAAGAGATAGGATGTGAGCGAACTCTGAATTATAATACTTGCTGGTTAAAAACTCATGTAGTTCTGATAAAATACGTTTCGCGTCGACGTAGTTTGTACCGTTATCCGAATACAATTTACTTACAGGGCCACGGCGGGCAAGAAATATTTTAAATGCTGGGTGCATTTAAAATCCGAATTGAATCCCGCTGTGCTTAGATGACCAACGAGTTCTATATGCACAGCCCGAGTAGTCAGACATACGATAATGCATACGTAAGCTTTTGTGGATCTTAAACCACGCCCGCGAGTGAGCGTGACCTTAAACGGACCAGCAAAATCAGACCCAGTGTGCATAAAGGGCTTTACGGATTGTGTTACTCGACAAGACCTAAGGTCCGCCATTTCCGGAAATGACGGCTTAGGACGTACTCGAAAGCAAGCTATACATCTGTGCACCCGATTGCGGATAAAATTACGTGCTGAAAGAATCCAATAATTCTCACGCAAGATTGACATCAGCAGGTTGGGGCCAGCGTGAGAATTCAATTTATGATGGTAATCAACTAATAAATTCACGATATGGCCTTTACGCGGTAAAACTATAGGGTGCCGTTGGTCGAAACTCAACTGCGAGTTAGACAAGCGTCCACCTATCCTGACGATTCCATCTTGAAAAAATGGCTTAAGACGTTGAAAAGCGCGACTACAAGTTCTATTCGATTGTAATCTTGTAATTTCATCGGAAAAATGTGCACGTTGAAGTTCACGCAATACTAGCAACTCGGCATAGCTGTAATCGGACGCTACGATATACAAACGTCGCGATAAAAGCTTCGCAAATCGACAAACGTAAATCACGCTATGCAATAATTTCGACCAAGAGGACAAACGGTTCGCCAAAGCAATGATTGGAGAAACGTTCGCTACCAGAGCGTGCCTCTTCTCTTCCGGTGCTTGAGATATTGACGAAGGGTCGAAATCGGTTATTGGCCACTGCGAGGGTTCCAAGTGAACCCAAGAAGGTCCGTGGAACCAAAGCGGATGGTCCATTATTTGCATCGGGATGAGTCCACGGGATAGACAATCGGCAGGGTTTCCCGTACCGGACACGTGATAAAAGTTCCGTGTTCCTAACTCGTCTTGGATCTTGGCCACTCGGTTCGCGACAAACGTTCACCCCACCGTTGGGATAACGGTGGGGTGAAGAATGAACCCAACATAAAGCGACGGTTGAGTCAGAAAAGGCAAATACCGCACTGATAACTGCGGTGATAAGCTTGGGAAGGACTAAAATCGCGCAAAGCTCTAAGCGCGCGAGAGAGAGCGGGCGGGGGGAGACTCTTAACTTAGAGGAAATGAGGCTGATCGAATTTCTACCATTGTTCTGGACGTGAAAATATACAACGCCCCCGTAAGCCTTTTCGCTAGCGTCTGCAAACACAACGACAGTGATGACGCTATTTCTATCGACGTTTATATGACGTGGTATTTTAATTTCGCTTAGTAATGAAAATTCCTGTCTAAAACGCAGCCACGACCGAACAATGCGGCGGCGAGTCATCCCAATCGCATTCACATAACCAAAGTTGTTAAATCAAAAACTTTGCGTATAGTACCACTGGGGCTACGAAACCCATGACATCCTATAATCTAGCAACGCATGACAGCATTGTGCGCTTTGTGCAAGTTTCTGCGGGCGGGTTTACCTTAAGGCTAAACACGTGGACTCCGGTGACCAATACAAACCGAGCACCTTATGCGTATGAGAATGCTCGAATTCCTTTATCGCCGAAAGGCGGTGTGATAGTGGGATTTTATCTAAAACCGTACGCGAATTACTAGTCCACTTGACGAGATCGAATTGACCCGCTTTCATGAGCTTTATAACCTCGGCGGTGGTTAGGATGGCCTCCTCCACGCTATCAACCGAATACACGAAATCATCCATATATAATCCACTCTCAATTGCCCTCCTAGCTTTAGGATAAGAGGGACCTTCATCGTAGGCGAGCTGTCTCACCGTACGTAACGCATGAAATGGGCTCGACTTTATACCAAAGCAAACGCGATTAAATTCAAACACCATTAGAGGTTCTTTTGGGTCAAAGCGATATAAAATGCGTTGAAATCGACGGTCATATTCACGGACCCCTATGCAAAGAAACATTTGGCGAATATCGGCGGATAGTTCTATACTGAACAAACGAAAATTTGATATTATATTAAATAAATTGCCCTGTAAATTTTGCCTACTGTAGAGGATATCGTTAAGAGAAAGTTGAGTGCTAGTTCTAG